CCGTTCGAGAGCCTCCGAGGGGGGGCGCGAATTCCCAGCCTCTCTCAAAGACCCTCCACCCCGCCCTTTTTGGCCCAAGATGGTTCCAAGAGAGCCCCCGATAGCCCATGATTGCTTTCAGAATGGCTTAAGATAGCCAAGCACGGCTCAAGATAGCCTCCGACAGCCCTCCAAGAGGCCTCAATGCAGCCTCAAGATGATCCAAGATAGCCGAGCATGGCTCAAGATAGCCTCCGACAGCCTCTAGCCGAGCATGCCTCAAGATAGCCTCCAAGAGGCCTCAAGAAAACTGGCAATCAATTATGGATGGGCAGGTGGGGATACTTTTTTCTCAAGGGCGCAAGCGGAAGCGCAGGCGCCGAGTCGAAAGGGACGGGCCACGGGCCGATCTAATTAGCAACGCGCACTCGTGCTGGTGGGGGTGCTTTTTTCGGTCGCGGGCAGACGCGGATTCGCAGTCGCCGAGCTGAGAGGCACAGGCCACGGGCCTGTCAAATTAGCCACGCCCAAGCAGCGCAGCGGCCGAGCCCGCGCTCAGAAGCAGCCGCGGGTGGGGCCGCGGGCTGAAGGGGAGCTGGCTGAGCTGACTGCAAGCGGCCAGGGTAGCTGATGCACCATGCGAGAGAATGGCTTAAAAACGCCAGAGTGGAATTAAGTCCTGCGCGCCAGGAAAACAAGATCGGCCCTGTATCTGCAAACCACGCATCAACCTAGCGGAGCGCTTCCACCGCCGGGACAACCCAGGAGGCGGCGCGCTACTAAGAAGAGCGCGAAGCAAGGGCATTCGAACTCAGGTACCGTGGGCGAGGGTGACCAGATACGAACTGACGCTGGTGGGGATTTTTTCGGTCGCGTCCGCAAGCGAAAGCGCAGGCGGAGTCAGAAGCGGTCCGGGGCGCCTGGTGGGGATACTTTTTGGTCGGCGGCCGCGCGACAACGGTCTGGCGGCAACAGGCAATGTCCGGGATGGCGGCGCAAAGCTAATTGCACAACAAGCGTGCAGTTGCACATGCACTGAACAGAATGCTCTGCATTCGAAAGAAAACGAAAACTATACAGGCGTGGCAGGCTGAACCACGCAACGCCCAGGCGTCAGTAATCCACCTCCCAGTGCCAGGTGGAGCCATGCGGCTGTGCCCAAGGCGCAACTGCGATGCCGACCCCTGAAGCGAAGAGATCCGCAGGCGTGGGAGCACCGCCGTCTAGCGGTGAAGCGCCTGCGCAGCCTGCCAGGGGGGTTCTGCTGCAATGGAGGCAACGGGAGGCCGGTGGAGTGAGTCGCCTGTGGGGCGCCAGACTCCGAACGCCCGCGACGACGTCTGCAAGCCAAGCAGCTGTCGCGGAACTGGTGCGGCGCACTGGCTGGCAGCTGGTGGCAGCTGGTGGGGGCCTGGGTGCTGTCTTGCTGCGGAAGGCTGAACCGCTCCGTGGCGACCCAACACCCGAGTGATCATTCCGCAAGGCAAGGGGGGGACAAGCGACTGTGGACCACGCAGCGCGTGCCAGCGCGGCGCCAGGCTTCTGAGAGGGGGGGGGGGGGCCCGCAGGCGGGGGCGCACCGCCAGCGGAGGAGTGAGGGGAGGGGCGGTGCTGGTGGTAGTGCTGCCTCCTGCGGTGTCAAGCACGCGCTGATCCTGATTTGTGCTGAGAAGGGGGGTGCAGCTGACCCCCGCAGAATACTCCCTGTCATGGTCATGGGGGGGTGCAGCCAACCGCCGCTGAGTTCACTCTTCCATTCGCATTGGGGGTGCAGCTAGCCGCCGCAAGAGTCACTATTGTTGGTGGTTGCCTCCGTCTCCGTCGCCAGATTGCACCTCGGGGGCGTGGCTCGCTACTGTCTGAGGAGATGCCGGCGCGTGCTCTCTGGGGGGGGGGGGGGCAACGTCCTCCGCAGCTGTGAGCTGTTGCGCCTCCTCCTGGCGCACCCTGGGGCTCGCCTCATCTGATGCCTCTCGGTGCCCCCCGGGGCCGCCATTGTCAGCCTCAGGGAGTTGGGTGGTCCTTACTGCTGGCGGCGAGGAGCCCCGAGCGGCCCCGGGGCGGGGGGGGGGAAGGCGTGGGCAGGGGGGGGTGGGGAAAAAGGGGGTCGAGACAAGACACTCCAGAACCTGTGCATCCGTCTCCATGCCCCTTCCGTTTCCGCCCGGTCCGCCGCAAGTGTGTCAGCGAGAGCCCCGTCTATGATGCATCGACCTTTCGTTGGCGGGGGGGGGGTGCAGCTACCCGCCGCAGAACGCGATTGATGGAAAGTGTGTCTGCGAGAGCCCCGTCTATGATTGGACAGTGCCTCCGCCTCTTCTCTCGGCGCTGCAATTGATGGCAGTGAGCGCACTTGCCGCTGAGAACTCTTCGATTCATATTGGGGGTGCAGCTATCCGCCGCAAGAGTCACTATTGTTGGTGATTGCCTCCGTCTCCGTCGCCAGATTACACCTCGGGGGTGTGGCTCGCCACTGTCCGCGGAGATGCAGGCGCGTGCTCTCTGAGGGGGCGGGCAACGTCCTCCGCAGCTGTGAGCTGTTGCGCCTCTTCTTGGCGCTCCCTGGGGCTCGCCTCATCCGATGCCTCTCGGTGCCCCCTGGGCCGCCATTATCAGCCTCGGGGAGTTGGATGGTCCTTGCTGCTGGAGGCGAGGAGTCCTGAGCGACCCCGAGGCGGGGGGGGGCGGGGGCGGGGGGGGGGAAGGGGGGGGCCGAGACAAGACACTCCCGAACCAGAACATCCGTCTCAATGCCCCTTCCGTTCCCGCCCGGTCCGCCGCAAGTGTGTCTGTGGAAGCCCCGTCTGTGATGCGTCGACCTTTCGCTGACACGGGGGGTGCAGCTAACCGCCGCAGAACACGATTTGATGGAAGGTGTGTCTGCGAGGGCCCCGTCTATGATTGGAAAGTGCCTCCGCCTCTGCTCTCAGCGCTGCAATTGATGACAGTGATCGCACTTGCCGCTGAGAGTGGTGGGAGAGCTGACCGACGGTATGACGGGGGGGCAACTAACCGCCGCGTAACCGATTTAATGAAAACGGCTACTGTGGGGAGACGGCCCGCCACTGTTTTTTTGCCTTTCCTCGGTGCCCGGGTGTCCGGGTGGCCCTTTGCCGCGTGGTGACCCCTGCTCGCTCCGCCGCATCGACCCGGGTGCAGATGCCGCAGCCGAGCCCAGTCGACGTCGAGGCCCAGCGCGTCGCTGACGACCCGTACGTCGCACTTGTGGCTGTGGAAAGATTCCAGGAAGGGGTGGCAGGTCTGCGGGTCGTGCCGAGGCGGGTCGAGCGCGCCTTTGCTGCCAGGCACGGACTGCCGCTTGGCGGAAGCGTGCCAAGTGCCTGTGAACGTTGTTCCCAGTGTGACTTGGAGCCGCCTTATCGCCTCGCTGGGTGTCTCCCCGGGTAGGTCCCACTGCACAAGACAGAATTCTGTCTTGTGCAGCTGCTGTCCCGTGTCGGGGCCCCTGGGCTCTGGCCATTGGCGCGGGTCAGGCCATTGGTGCTTCCGTGTATCCTGGCCGCAAGTATCCAGCGTACCGGCCTCGCTGTCCTGGCCGGAGGGCTCGCGATCTGCCCGCGACAGTTCCGGCTGCACGCCTGGCGGGGTTCTGCGGGGAGGGGCGGGCCGCATGGTTGGCCGCCAGGCGGGGGTCGGATCGCCTCCGGCGGCCGGGGCGGACGCTGCCCTGTGGTGCGTGGGGAGAGGCTCCTTTCGCTGGCGTTCGCCGTCGGGCTTGCGCCCGCCGTCGCTCCCGGGTGCGCCCCCTTCGGTCATCGCAGGACTCTCGCGGTCTCCGAAGTGCCGCTGGTTGTGCCGGGCGCGTGCACGTGCGGCGACGCAGTTTCCGTTGCCAGAACACAAGATTCTTTGTCAGTCGTGTCCTGGGCGTCAGGAGAGAGCGCCCGGGGTTCGCCGTTCATTAGAGTGGGGCCGCTGGCAGGGGAAGGGGGGCGAATAGGCGCGAAAGGGTTTCTCCCGACGAGCCAGTGGATGGCTTCGCTGTCCTGCGTCTGGACGGTTGGTCCGTGGCCCCCCTGCTGGGTCTGTGGCGCTCCCAGAGGACTGCTGACGGTCTGATTGTTTTGAGGGGGAGGTGGGGGTGGCACGGTGTGGCAGGCGAGCCCCTGCTGTTCCGGGATCTCGCTTAGCTGACTGTTGCGGCTGCCGTCAGCACTTTCGGGGGCCACCCCCTGCCCGCCCGGTTTCCTTCCAGAGACACGGATGAAGGCTTGTGCCACTTCCACACCTTCAGAGGCTTCCGCCGCTTCGGGCCCCCGATACTCCGCGGCCTCCGCAATCTCCGCCGACTCCGCCGCGGCCTTCCTCTCCTTTTCTCTGCCCTGCTGCTGCTGCTGAGGGAGCATGGGTACCTCTGAGTCTTCTCGTGGGTTCAGCTGCTGCTGTGGCAATGGTTGGGGGTGCTGCCGTTGTTGCTGCCACTGCTGCTGCTGCTGCTGCTGCAGCTGCTGCTGCAGCTGCTGGGTTCTGTTGCTGCTGCAGCTGCTGCCCTGCTGCTGCGGCTTCTGCTGTTGCTGCTGTTGCGGCTGCTGCTGCTGCTGCAGCTGCTGGGTTCTGTTGCTGCTGGTGCTGCGGCTGTTGCTACTGCTGCTGCTGCTGCTTCTGCTGCTGCTGCTGCTGCTGCTGCTGCCCTGCTGCTGCTGCTGCTGTTGCTGCTGTTGCGGCTGCAGTTGCAGCAGCTGCGGCTGCTGCTGCAGGTGCTGCTGCTGCGGCTGCTGCTGCTGCCGCTGCTGCTGCGGCTGTTGTTACCGCTGCTGTCGTTGCTGCCGCTGCTGCTGCTCCTGCAGGTGCAGCTGCAGCTGCAGGTGCTGCTGCTGCTGCCGCGGCGGCGCCCGCGGCGGCGGGCCCCAAGGCGGCCGCGCGGGCCACGGCGGCCGCGGCGCCGGTTGCGTGGCCTGCGGCCGCCGCGGCGGCCGCCTCCGCACGGCGGCGGCGGCGGCGGCGGCGGCGGCGCGCGCGGCGCGGCGGCCGCAGGGGCCGGCGGCGGCGGCGCTGGCCGCCGAGCCCGCGGCGCCGGCCCAACGGCGCCGGCGGCGCCGGCGGCGCCCGCGACGCCCGCGGCCCCCCCGCGGCCCCGCCGGCGGCCGCGGTGGCGCCCGCGGCCGCGGCGCCCGCGGCCGCGGCGGGGAAGGCGGCCGGCCGCGCGGGGCTGGGGCCGCGGCGGGGCGGCGCGCGGCTCCGGCGGCGTCAGCGGCCCGGGCGGCGGCAGCGGCGTCGCGGCCGCGGCGGCGGCGCGCCGCCCGCGGCCGCGGCCGCGGCGGCGGCGCCGTCGCCGGCGGCCGCGGGGGCCGCAGCGCCGGCGGCGCTGGCCGCCGCGGCCAAACCGGGGGGGCCGCCGCAGGCGGCGGGCCGCAGGCGAGCCGGGGCGGCAGCGGCGGCGGCGCGGCAGGCAGCCCTGCGCCGCTGCCGCCGCCGCTGCGCCGACGGCGACACCATAGCGGGGCGCAGCGGGAGCGCGGAAGGGAGGCCCCGTCCGCGCTCCCGCAGGAGGGGCGCCGAGGGCCAGGGGCAGGCCCCCGGCCGCGGCCCAGCAAGCCGGCTCGGCACCTCGAGCCAGAGCGGCTCAGAGCCAAGGGGGACTACGGAACCTGGTGGGGATACGCTTTTTTGGTCGGCGGCCGCGCGACAACGGTCAGGCGGCAACAGCGATGCCCGGGGCAACGGAACACGGCAAATTACACGCGATGCGAGGTGTGCACTTTTGCACTGAGCAAAATGCTCCGCATTAAGGCGAACGCACATAGGCGCCAGCCACACCCAAGTGAAGCAGACATCAGTGCGAGTGCAACGGAGAAAGTCGCCCTGTCGGCGCCAAGCTCCGAGCAGCTCTCCTAGCCGAAAGCGGGCAGGGAGAACCGAAGCGACAACGCTGAAGGCTGAACCACTCAGCGCGAAGCCCGTACCACCGCCGTACGCGGGGTCGGCGGAGACAGCCTGGTGGGGGATACGCGAAACGTCAATTTTTTCGTTAAACTACTGTGGGTAAGCCGCGGATGGGTCGCAAATGGGTCGTGGGTGGGTCGCTGTTGGGTCGCGGGTGGGTCGGGCAGGAACGCCACCCCGTGATAATCGCCCCGACAATCGATGCCGTTTAGTAAACGCACACAAAGAATGAATCGAACAGAGCAGGGCTGTTCGGGTCACGGGGTGAGTCGCGGGTGGGTCGCGGGGTGGGTCGCAGGTGCGTCGCGGGTGGGTCGTGGGTGGGTCGCAGGGTGAGTCGCGGGTGGGTCTCGGGTTGCGTCGCGGGTGGGTCGCGGGGCGGGTCGCGGGGTGGGTCGCGGGGTGGGTCGCGGGGCGGGTCGCGGGTGGGTCGCGGGTGGGGCGACGACAACAAACAGCAACAACAACGCAACATACATAATTCCCACCACAAATCATATCCCACCAGCCCTTTAGGGCGTGAGTGGTTTAGATAGTCCTCTCTGTTCTCAGCCCCCTTCTTCCCCTTCGGGGAATTTGTGGAGCTCCCTGTGGGGCCAGCGGCCACGAAACGTGAAGGGTATGCCGAAATTGGTATGGGGGCGGCATGCGGGCGCAGCCAATGGGGCCTTCGGTGGGGCTCACTATGGGGCCGCGAAACGTGTGTGGGGGGGTGTTGAAGTGGGTGTGGGGGCGGCATGCGGGCGCAGCCAATCTGGCCTTCGGTGGAGCTCCCTATGGGGTCACGAAGCGTGTGAAGGGTGTGCCGACATGGGAAGGGAGAAGGCATGCGAACGCTGACACTTGGGCCTTCCCTTCGGCGGGCCTCCCTATGGGGCCACAGGGCGCGTTAGGGGTGTCCCGGTGAAGAGGCATGCGGGTGCAGCCATTGGGGCCTTCGATTGAGGTCCGTATGGGGCCGCGAAACGTGTGAGGGGTGTGCCGAGATTGGTGGTGGGGAGACATGCGGGCGCAGCCACTGGGTCCTTCGGTGGAGCTCCCTACGGGGAAAGCTCCCTATGGGGCCACGAAGCGTGTGAGGGTGTGCCAAAATCTGGTGGTGGGGGAAGCATGCGGGCGCACACAGTGGGGCCTTTGGTGGAGCTTAGTGTGGGGCCACGAAACGTGTGAGGGGTGTGCCGAAATGGGGTCTTGGGCGCATGCGGGCGCAGCCACTGGGGCCTTCGGTGGAGCTTTCTATGGGGCCACGAAGCGAATGATAGGTGTGCCGAAATGGGTGTGGGGGGGGCATGCGGGCGCAACCACTGGGGCCTTCGGTGGAGCTCCTTACGGGGCCACGGAACGTGCGAGGGGTGTGCCGAAGCTGATGACGATGATGGTGATGATGTCGCCGGCGATGGTGAAAATGACGGCGATGACGACGGCGATGGCCATGATGATGACGCCGATGATGATAATGATGGTGACGACAACGAAGACGGTGATGATGATGATGGACGTGATGTCGATGATGGTATGATGACGACGACGATGACGATGATGCTGGTGATCATTGTGATGATCATGCTGACGAGCCTGCTGATGATTCTGGAAAGGGTGGGGGAGGAGGAAAAAAAGGAAAGGAACCCGCGGCGTTCTTTTCAAAACGAGGACCAACACCACAGGATGGTTGGGAACATTACTAGGTTTGCAACATCAGTTTTCACAATCGTCTGAGCTCGGGCTGTCAATCCTTCAGACAACCATCGGTTCTGCAACATTGTCAAGAGCTGCTGCCAACCAAGCGTCTCGCGCGCGTGTCCAAATCACTCGAACTCCCTTGCGCCCGTGCTGTAGCAACGACCTTTTGCAACACATGGAATGAAGTGCGCGCGGGCGTCGTCGCGCACGCATGCCGAAATCGTTCAACAACCTCAAGTTTCGTGGGGCGTTCAGAACCGAGTGTCCCGAACAGCATACGCAACACATGCTTTTGCAACAACAGTATTCGAACATGCCTGCGCTCACGCTGCTGCGAATTCTTAAAGACAACAGAAAATTTGGACCTTCGATGATTCAATTAAACTCGGCCAGACAAGCCCCGTGCGCCGCACGTCGACATCATTCGAGCGCCTTTGCGCGCGTGTTGGGGTGAAGGGGTGGGGGCGCGATCCGTGTCAAATAATACTGTGCGGGCCTCGCGCGTCGGCCGCGCGCGCATGTCGAACTCCCTCCAAAACTTGCATCACCGACGCGAGGGCGCCGTCGTCGTCGTCGACGTCGTTGTCGTGATCAGCATCGGCGCCGTCACTGGCCTTGCCGTCGTCGCTGTCATCATCGTCGCCAGCAACGCTACCATCATCATCGCGTTTGCCGTTGTCGACGTTGCCATGATACCGCGCCCGCCCAAGTCGCCGACTCGCACTGAAATACCCGCTGGGAAGTGCCCAGCGGTCAGCGCCACAGTGGCCACTTCGGTAGCGCCAACCTATCTGGCCGCTGCGCGCGCGAGCATGCGCGGGCTAGCGCACCAGCCAACTGCAAGCACTCATCGCAATCGCCGCCGCATGGGCTTTGCAAATTAAGTTGCGGGTGGGTGGGTGGGATGATTGCGCGAGCAGTGGAGTGGACAACTCACAGCGAACAAACTTTAACTGCACTACGTAAGTTGCCTAACATATATATTGCGCAGCGTATGTTGCTAGAAAGACACCGTTTGGTGTCCACGCGGGCTAACACTTACACATATCTATCTATCTATCTATCTATCTATCTATCTATATATATATCTCTATTTATCTATATATCTATCTATGTATATATACGTGTATATATACATATAAACTGTGTATACCAATCCTAGCTCTATATGTTTGTCAGTGTACTCCCACCAGCCCTCTGTGCTCAGGTGGTATAGCGATTATTTTCTTCCCTTTTCCAAAACCCTTTGCCCGCCTATCGGGGAATACCTTACCACAACTTCTTATTAACGTACACCCCCTGCCCGAACCCATCAGCCCGAGCTATGGCCCCTGTGCCCCCCACCCACCGCCCATGTCAAAAACAACGCAACATTCACTTTGCGGCCAAATCTGTATCATGCTCGGGCGCCCCCGGTTACTTCACAGGGTTTCTGACACGGATGGTGGGGGTGCCCGCGTGCTGTCTCGTCCCTGTGGGCCAGCCATTCCGTCAAAAACCGATCTCAAATACACGTTGCGGCAAAATCTTCGACCATGCGCGGGGGCCTCACGACAATTTCGTGTGTTATCCGATCAAAATGATGGGGATGCCCTGGCACGCCCACCGCACGTCGCGGGCGTCGCGCTCCTGGCCGGCGCCTGCATTGTTTACCGATGGTTGTCGCTGGCGGCCCTTGCCCATGCTGAGACTCGAATGCGATCTGTGTGTTGTGAGGGCGGGAAGGAGTGAGCGAGACGGCTTGCGTTTACTGGTTAGCTTAACATCCTCCTCTCCTTCAACCTCGTTGCCCACATAAATTCTTATGGTCATCGCTTCTGGATGGGCTGGTGGGAATACGCGAAACGTCAACATGTTCATACACATAAACATATCAGCCGCTGGGCCGCGAAACACTAAGTGATGTGCCGTGGATATGCAAGACCATTTGCAAGTGACCAAACCATAGATTACAGGCACCCCTGGGTGCTCCTAGGCCCTCTTCGGATTTGTTAGAAGAATTTCCCAGAAGCCTCGGGAACGTCGTTCATAATCCAGACAGCAGGGGTACTCGGTGATGGTCCTAGGAGCACTTTCTGAAGCCCTCCAGGGAACCTCTTCTGCCGTCTTCCTGACCCCTGGGGGCATGCCATCAAATCATTTGCAAAGGACTCTCAGGTACAAGGCGGCCCAACATGCCCACCAAGCGCCCAAAACGATGCCATTGGGGCCCCCAACAGGCCCCCAAGATGGGGAACTCCAACGGGTCTTTGGGGCTCCAGGCCTCCGAGAGGCGCCAAAGGGACCCTCGCATGCTCCCCTGAAGTCCCCAAGGGGCTGCCAGGAGGGCCCCCGGAGGGCCTAACGATGCTTCCAAGAAGCCATGCAAGAGACACCGAGAGGCCTCCAAGGCCTCTTGTCCACGACCGAACAGCGGTGGTGGGGTGGGCCGAGGGCCTTCAAATGCACGTTCCTGCGCCCTTCAACCTACAGGACGTTTATGGTGATGTCTAGCTGTGCAAATTTTGTTGCAAGGACCCTTGCAAACCGTATCTATGTGCGTTCGAACCGACCGCGTGAATGTGTACGTAATCCCGTCAAGAAGCGACGTGAACACAATTCTATCTCTTCCGAGCGCACAAGCTGCTGGATCACAAGCTGCTCATTGAACGAGGCACACCATTTTGCAAGCAGAGCGCGGGACGTCCAACCAGGATCTAAGCATGACTTGTGGTTGATGCGACAATTCAATCTCCGTCGACGTTTGCGGCGTTTTCGTCTCGCACGGCATGGGCCTGTTCAGAATATTATGTGTTGCGTTTTCGGGCGAAAATCACTGCGCAAACAATGCGGAACGGTTCCGGTGCACGCCATGACAATCCACGAGAAACCGC